TTGAGACAAATCTTGTTTTAGCTTTTCAATTACATCCACCGTGTTCTAGATTCAAGACGTCTCTTTAACACATGTAAAGCTACTGTTTGGAAACGAATAGAATATATTAAATGTATACGATTTAAATGAAAACAACGCGGTTTTACGATTCCTACTAAACCACTGTATTTGACAAATATATATATATATAAAACTTCGTAAAATTTTAGTTTATTGATTGAATGATTATGAATGATGTTATATTCAAAATTTAATTAGTCGAAGTAATAAAAATGTTAAGTCGAATTTAACTTATTTTTTCTTTGTATCCTGGTTATCACAGCAATCTATAGACATTCAACTATTACTTTATTTGATGAATGTCAATCATTTATTCCGTACTAGCTTTCCGCCCGCAGCTTCGCCCGCGTGGAGTTCGGTTATATCGCGTTTTCAAGAGAACCTTTCAAAAGTCTGGGATAAAAACTATCCTATGTTCTTTCTCAAAGTCAACTCTATCTCTGTACCAAATTTCATTAAAATCAGTTCAGTGGTTTAGGTGTGAAAGCGTGACAGACAGACAGACAGAGTTACTTTCGCATTTATAATATTAGTAGGGATATGTAATATGAGTCTATTATTATGATCAGTTTTTGTAGGTGTAAAGTTTCAACAAATATAGGGCATACTGTTTGTATGCTATCGATTTTGTAAGGGTTTTACCGATCCACCAGCGAGCTAATATTACGATTTTCCTGTGGTTTGATCCATAGTTTATTTTTCGTCTTTCACTGATTTCATAGTTTGTTTTGATGTCGGACCAAGATGTCGCCACAATTGATAGTTAGAGTTCGTTGAACCTCAAGGTTTCTACGATAATTATGAAATTGCATCTTAATGTTCGTTAACAATATGTCAATAGTTAATAAAGTGTTAGTGGTATATATATTATATACTTGTATATAATAAATATTTGCGTCAGTTAGAGGATTGAAAGGATCCTCGCTCGCAGCATCAAAGCATGTAAAATTGATGACTTCAAAATAACTCCATCCTATTCTGTCACAATGGATTTGAAATATATTTCGTCGTCTTTTCATATAGATATATAAAAATATTAACTACTTATATCAATAAAAATATTTTTATGTTATAGTTAATTATTTGTAGTGCACTTTTTACATCTTGGAGATTTAATAATATAAAAATATATTTAAAAATAATTAAATATCAGACACAAAAAAATAATACCTTTTATTTTAAATAACACATACTTTAAATATAAATAATACTTACGATTAAACTAATAACCTCGAAAAATGATTTGATAAAAATATTTTAAGATCTGATTCTTCATAAACACACACGTTTTTAGTAGCACTGTATCATATTTACAAAAGATATATTCTCTATATTTCTATGTTCATATTGTGAATATAAATTTATTATAATAGTAAGCTAAACGGCCCTAATCTCTCATCTCGTGATATTAAATGAGGTCAACAAGTTAACTCAATACTCAAGTTGAAACAGATTTTAAAATTTCTGCCGCATCAGACGTTGGTGATTCGTATTTAAGTCGCTAATTCAGTTTTCTTAGTTTCCATTAAGTGGGTTTTGAAATTTATATCAAAATGATACTTATAATATATATTAGGAAAAAATCTTTAGTATTAAATAAATATATAATTATAGATTTCTTGAGTATTACCACGTCTAAAAATATATTCAAAATTCCTTATAAATTTATTATAGAAAATTGTAATGCATATGAGATCTTAATTGTATCTTCTAAAATAAAAAATCAATACATTTTGCGAACATAATCGTATATTTTCTTGTGTGAAAATTACATAATGATTATCGCATATGGAAGGAGTAGTTTTAGTAATTTTCATTGAATCGGCGACTGTAATGTGTATCGGTTCGTAAGTTTCCCAGGCTTCAATGGAGGTATTGTACGTTTATTGCACTGTAGGGAAAACCGTTTTTTAGTAGGATCGATATACAATGAACACAATTTCCATAGACTTTGAACTTTTTATCGGCTGTATAGCAACGGTCTTAATCAGTATTAAAATAACAGGACTATGAAAGTCCCTTTTTATTTTTTTTTACTAAGTTTATAAATCTATAATTTGATTAAATACTTCTTACATAAATCTTTTTGGTTGTTTATATATTTAATCATAATTATTAATGCGTCTATATCATTTAAATATATAGTCAAATATGTTATTTTCTGTCTGTATATATACAATTAACAGTTTCCTTTTTGGAAGATGTAATTTAAGAGCAATTTGCTTTCAATTCCGTTCATAAAATTCCGTCTCTGTGTAGGCGTTTGTTGTAAGATGAAGACTGTTTATGTGATTAGCTAATAGCCAGTTAAATCATTGAGAAATACTACCTACTCTTGTTTATAAGTACCTAATAGGAAAACGATTTTAATTAAATATATAAATAATTTTTGGAGACAAGAACACAAAGACTGTATATAAAACGAAAAGGATTTTTTATAAATACTAACATAGTTGGCGAGAATTTAATCTATAACCTTACTTTAGGTTTTTCTATGTTAAAACTAGATACTAATAGTTTTCTGTTTATGATTTCCAAATTAATGCACACGAGAACATCAACGTATATTAATGAAAAACTAAAAATTATCAGCATCCTTTAACAATGCTAACAAATAGTAAGTATTTATTTAAAACATATATTAAAGGATTATTTAGGATTTATATTCATAATGAAATTGAAACGAGTCTGTTTTTAATTAACGTCGTTTGATCTCAATTACAGACGCGTCATCGCAACAGATTGTAAATCATGATTCAGAAACAATACTATTAAAAATACTTTGTTTTTGTATAGCCGTAACAAACGTTATATTATTTTTTCTAAGGCAGAGATATTTTTCTGGATATCGAACAAAACAGAGCCATCTGTATTATGAATATTACAAGTACAATACCTCCGAGCCACTCCCAACTGTAAAGTAGGGCACGGGGAAATGTAACTTATTGTTTTCCCATAAATATTAGAATGGTGTGTCCCATTTTGTATCTGAGAGCTATGATCCGTACAAAAGGGTACGAGGTGCTCTTAGTGAAATGCGATCCATTGTCTTGCTTCAAAATTACGTGCTGCTAAATGTACATTAGCGTTACTTACACTTTCAAAGTGTTGTATTAGGTTATTCATAATAATTAACTTAGAAGGGATATAAAGTATTAAAAGTATATAATAATCTAATTCTATGAGGACTATTTTTCATATTTTTCTTCTTAGTTTTGACTGGTGACTTAGGTCATTCACAAAGTTACATCGTAAAAGTCACAATAATTTTTCCTGACTTATAATTTAACTAATTGAATTAAGTTATTAATATCACAGTAGACATAAAATACTGACTAATATTAAAGGTTTTAATTAAATAATTTAGATGGTAAATAAAGTAAATCATTATTTAAATCATGTTTTTTCAACTTATCTCCAATATGAACCTGTTTGCGAGAAATATACATTTGTTAAACTTTTTTCGGAAAACAAAAAAACTTTTCTAAAGACTTTAAAGTGTTCAGTTTCTTTTCAGAATTTCAGTCTAGTAGAAAATAAAAACAGCTAATCACTCTAAAAACTATGAATGCTCATTCTTTAGTTCTGAGTCTTAATTCAGTCACTTGTAAAGGAAAAATCTTTTAACTGTGCTTTTCTAATGTAGGTCTTAAAAAATAGGGAATTACTATACCTAGTGAGAAATCTAGGCTTGTAAATTTATAATAAATTACATTTAGACTTTACATTAAACATTATTTTTTAGTGTTGATGCACAAAAAATACTATCGCCGTACATATTAGAGCGAAACAAGTAAAAAATGTATAGTAAGTTGTAGTAGAACTACCGCATTGCTTCATTGTATAAGCGAAATTGATTGAATAACAAGTGTTCTTATAAATCTGGCAAAGACAATCCCACTTGGAAAGTATCCAGGAAACTCTGCATCATGAATACCCCGTGAATAATTTTGGATACAAAATATATTTAATTTTTTTTTTACATATATACACTGTAGGTTATAATTTTGAAAAGAAAAAGCTTGCAAAATAAACGATTTTTACTGCCGTACTAATTGTTTATTCTACGTTAAAGAACTGAGGTCACGAAAATTTTAAATTTAGTCATATTTTATTGACCAAATAGTCATTATTTTTTTCTAATATTACAGTTTTGCAAGAAAAATAATTAAAACTGTACATTAGTGGCCACAAGTTGGTTAATTAAATTTTTTGGTTGTAAAATATTCCTCTATCAAATAAAATCAACTCTTTTTTTGGTTATTTTTAAAGTGATGTAGCATTTCTTAGAAGTTCAGTGGTTCAGACCAGGTGTATATTAAAATTTCTTTGATGTGGAATAGAATTAATAAAATATACATTAATTGTTTGATCTATCTTGTTTGTTTTGGTTATACAAACAAGTTTTTTTTTTCACTGGAATCTTAATCTTTGTTCATTAATATGTAACATAGGATTATTTCAATTCAAGCTTACGAACACACAGACGTATTCCAACATTCTTTTTAATAGCATGTTATTGTTAATTCTATATTTCGAGGTTTTGAATTACGTCCACGTACTCATTTTTATTGTCGATACGTTTATTTCTAGGAATTAAAGGAAGAAGTAACATATACTGAATAGTTTTGTGTTTACATAAATTAGCATAGATTTTTAAGACTAAGGCTAAAATGTATTAGTATGGTCAAACTCTTAATAATTTATATTAAAACTTAATGAGATTTATGACTTTCGCGAGTATTCTTTTGAATGAAAATATTATTGTCGGATTATTATTTTTAAAAACTACATACACGCTTAATGTATGTAGTTAAATGTATGTATGTAATATGTATACGCGTTCTATATATAAGTTTTTCACTTATCAATGATAGTTTATACTTTATACAGTGTCAAGTTCTATATACATATACATTTATAATCTATTTTGCCTGCAGGTTTACCTGGCGTTGTTCAAGCCGCTCCGAGTGTCCCGCCGTCAGTTCCGCCGCGTCTTGATGTGTATGCGTAACGTGAGGCAGCTCAAATGCCACGAGCTCTACGCCCACGAGAAGGTCACTAAAGTAGACAGCCTCTCCCTGGTGCTCTCAGGAAAGTAAGTACATTCAGTAATATTCTCATTAATTAATTTCATCAAAGATGACGGGAAAAGACAGAGGTTCCAGAATGTTACCTTGACGTATATTATATATTGACTAGAAGACCCAGCGAACTTCGTATCGCCCTATAATCACGAAATATCTGTTACGTTTTTTATTTATATTTTTGGAGTTTACCTATTAAAGCCATAAATCTCCGTGTTTTGAAGTGCGACAGAATGATTGATATATTAGTTAGTTGTCAAATCTAATGTCAGAAAAAACGTTTGTATCAACAACTACTAATAAATTAAAAATAAATTAAAATAACATTGTCCATTAGACAAAATTGTGAATCTAAACCATTCCCAGATCCCCTTGAACACACACAAAAAATTTCATCAAAATCGGTCCAGTCGTTTGAGAGAAGTTCAGTGACATACACACTCACAGAAGAATTATACAGGGTGACTGGTGAATTACTATCAATATTTAAGGAGAATACTCGGTACATGATTCTCATTCGAATTATGTAAAAAAAATAGGCAATTAATTTTTGACAAAATTTCGGCGGCGTGCTGATACAACACTACGCCGCCGCATGCGTATGTGTGTGTGAGTGTATACCTAATCTGCAGGGTGTTCACACGATGCGTAATTAATTACATAACTTTTGGTTAACGTTACTTAGAAGTTTATTAATATTTATGTTATATTAATTTTTATTTTGTCATATATGATCGTCAAATATCACGTCCTCAAGTATCGATAGTAATTCACCAGTCACCCGTTATATATAAAGATTAATAGTTCTATTCATATAATTAAAAATTAATCTTATATTTTCTTAATGCTTAAAATATTTCTACCATACATTTTATATCCCTTATATTTATATTGTTCTATTTATAAAGTGTTAGATAAAATTACAATCAACTTATAATAAACCGAGCCTTCCATTAATGACAGTTTTTATAGAAAAGGGATAAGTTCGATGACAGTATGGCATTAATGCTCCAACATGATTAATGGATAAACATTATAAAGTATTTGTCATAGTAATATATATTTTTTGCAAGGAAATTCTTTTTATCACTCTATTTATTGTTTAATTAATATGAACAGTGTATATATATATATATATATATATATACAGGGTGACTGGTGAATTACTATCAATATTTGAGGACGTGATATTTGACGATCATATATGACAAAATAAAAATTAATATAACATAAATATTAATAAACTTCTAAGTAAAGTTAACCAAAAGTTGTGTAATTAATTACGCATCGTATGAACACCCTACAGATTAGGTATTAGGTACACACACACATACGCGCGCGGCGGCGTGTTGTTGTATCAGCACGCCTCCGCACGCGTCCACACTTGGAACACTTGGAACGTGTCAACACTTTATTTATTTATACGGAAATTTGGTCAAAAATTAAGTGCCTATTTTTTTACATAATTCGAATGAGAATCATGTACCGAGTATGCTCCTTAAATATTGATAGTAACTCACCAGTCACCCTGTATATATATATATATATATATTGTATAACATAATTACATCTCCTTCTTCTAGCTGGCAATTTCCCAGCTTTAGCCAGGGCCTGCCTTACATGTTGTGAATAGTTTTGGCAAATTGTTTTTACGACCGCCCGCCTGCCTGACATCAACCCACTTTGGGAATGCATTAATCAGTGATGTTTATATACTCTTATAAAGTACATGTGACTCTGAAAAATCACATTGGTACTTGCCAGGGCCAGGATCGAACCCGCGCCCTCGAGCATGTGAGGCGGGCCTTTTAACCACTAGGCTGACTGACTTATAACATAATTACATATTCGTGTATTGATTACTATGTCATCAATATTTCGGTTTTCATTTATTAATGATGGTTTACAATATTGGGTTTAAGTACATTTAACATTAATATAATGATGTATCAATTGTGTGTTAATTACCGTATCAAATAGATCGTTGTACTGATATCGTTGTATCGACAACTGTATTAATATTTATTTCATTATTTTTATATGTATTTATTTTGTTGAATTTATTTAGAGTATTGGTGATGGCTTTACTCATCTTTTACTAATTCAATTACTAAGTAATTTAGACAGATAAAAAATAGGGAAAGATTCTTCTAACCATCCTATTTCAGACCTTTTTTTCTGAGGCAATGAAAAATAGCTCATCAGTTACCAATACCTCGATAGTTGTGGTATTTGAGTATAGATATTTTATTAATATAGTAATTTTAGCACAAGTATTTCTGTACTTTTAGAGGGTATGTGTTGACAAAGAGACCTATCGTTTGTATTGGTACAAATAGATTACGAAATGTGAAATACTATCTATTAACAGTGATATTGGGTTTATAGTGAAAAATGAACTTATTCTAGGGTCTGAAAGAATTCAAACTTTGATACAATTCTCAATACTTTATAAACCGCAAATTGTTGCATCTTATTGTACAATACAATTCAATAAAATTTACATTTATATTACTGACAACTCGATCGGAAAATTAGTTATTAATACCTATTGGATCATTTTTCCATTGGTATGTGCTTTTTGTTCAACTCAAATCGAAGGGGCATCCTAGTACGGTAAGAAATCAAGCAAGCCGAATGGTATTCTATGTACCTTCTTTTTTTGTATACAGGAGTTATTATACGCTTAAAATTTTTGCACTTTGTTGACTTAGATTGAGTTAAAAGATCTTTGCTTGGGATGAGGTTCATAGTTAATCCTATGTCCCTGTATGTAAAAAAATCCTCTCGAACGAAATGTTTGAAAGAAAAAAGATAGATTAGGATATTTTACATTAAAAACCATTGAATTTCTATTCCAAGGTTCGGTTTCTATGTCACAAAAGTCGTAATAATTTGTCCAAATGTAAATGGATACATTTTAATTCTATGAACATCTATTGAACTTAAACGTTTGCAATTCATACTTCTTAATAATAGTACGATGCGTTAAATAAGATTTCATCTAAATCAATACGATCTTAATACTGTAATTGATCTCCATTATATTTTTATCACGTTAATTTACTATCTTTCCACGCTATAGTAATTTATGCATATGCTTATCCTTAATCTATTGCTTATTAACTAAGCCTTTCTATATCAAATTTTGTATTATTATAATTCTTTCTGAATTGTAGTTTAAATAGCTTTTGTGGGGAAGAAAAATTCAAAAGGATATATGTACTTCTACCAAATTAAATGGTGTTGGTAGAACATTGTTTTTATAATAAAAGCAATATATAAAATAACCAGCTTTCCGCCCGCAGCTTCGCCCGCGTGGAGTTCGGTTATATCGCGTTTCCAAGAGAACCTTACAAAAGTTTGGAATAAAAACTATCCTATGTTCTTTCTCAAGGTCAGCTCTATCTCTGTACAAAATTTCATTAAAATCAGTTCAGTGGTTTAGGCGTGAAAGCGTAACAGACAGACAGACAGAGTTACTATCGCATTTATAATATTAGTAGGGATTAAATTAAATGAAGTAGTTGTTAATGTATATATATACATGATAAAATAAGTCAGCTATTAAGTAAAGTCACTGTGATAGTTATTCAATGAGTCACTTTCCTAAGAAGCACATGTCGAGTTCACAAATAGCTCACAAGCTGAACTGTTCCTTTGGTATGGTGCACACTCGTTTTATTTATCAATACTATTAAATTATATTAGTAGTCATAGTGATGAAATTAAGGCAACGTCACGTTATTCTATATGTGTTATTGGACAAATATTGTAATGAGATCTAGGACTTTCGCGATTCGTCATTGAAATAGAACTTATATTTTAGTATGAGATTCACATCTCGTCTGCCCGTGATCAGGGATGCTGTAAAGTAACCGAAAATTCGGTAGTAAATAGTTAAAATCCAACAATATTAGTTTTATTTCAAATATTATTGTTATGGTTAGCATGTTGGTTAATCAAAAACTTTAGTTGTTTAACATGTCTTTGTCCGGATTTTTGATCCAATTTTTTGACTCCTTAGTATTCTGTGTTACTTCATGGTTTTTGTGTTTTAAATGGTCGCACGTTATAAGTTTGAAGCGTACCTTAATGAAGTTTATCCCGTTCAAGTTTCTCTTCTAACTTTATCTTATTAAGTACTCTAGAAATGTCCGAGTTACGAAGTATCGTTATATCTATAAAAAAAAGTCGAGCTGAAATTCCACCGTCCCTATAAAGAGTATGATGTCATTGACTTAAGTTGGCAAATGTTTGCATTTAATTTGTTTGAAGGATTCGTCTGTTTGCCTCCGGCGCCATAAATTAGGGATTTTGTCTTAAAATTTATGGCTTAGTGAAGTGGATATGTTTGGGTTGGATTTGGGTTGCACTTAGTTTATTGGATTTAAATTTATCTTTGAAGGTGCGAAGATAATCTTGATAATGTTTCAAGCTGAGCTCCACTTTCCCAGCTTTAGTCAGGGTCTGCCTTACATGTTGTGAATAATTTTGGCTAATTGTTTTTACGACCGGCCGCTTGCCTGACATCAACTTTGGGAATGTATTAATCAGTGATGTCTAAATACTCTTAGAAAGTACATATGACTCGGAAAAATCACATTGGTACTTGCCCGAGCCAGGATCGAATCCGCGCTCTCGAGCATGAGATGCGGGTCTTTTAACCACTAGGCCACCACTGATTCCCCCCACTTAGTACTATAGGAATATGTAACTACCCTCGCAGTGATACAGTCTTACATCACATAGTAATACAATACTATGTCGGAGTTAGTATTTCATTTTTATTGCGGTCATAATGTTATATCGTGTTATAACTTGTAATGACCGAATAACCGCAATGTTTTTATTACGAACCATTTTATATTACTGAGTAAATTTAACGGAATCAAATGAATTGTCATAGAAATATTATGTATTAGTATCGTTTGTAGAGCATGGAGATGTTTTGTTTGAAAAATCTAATATATAAAATTCTCGTGTCACAGTTTTCGTGCCCATACTCCTC